ATCTGAACTGCAAAGTGAGACCCTGTCCCAAAAAACAAAAATAACAGTGGTAAGTGAAACGGTCAGTCAGAAGAGACTACCTATCGTAATTCCACACAGAGCAGGCAAATCTACAGACCACAGGCTCATGGCTGCAACAACTGTGAGGGCTGTGAAAACAGGACAGTGATGACTAATAGGTATTAAGGAAGATTTGTTTTATCAGGTGATGACAATGCCCTGGAATGGACTGTGCTGAAGGCTGTACAACGCTGTGGATACACTGCAACTGGTGAACTGCACACTGCACGTGGAGGCTTGGGCTTTGTGGGGTGCTTGTCTTTTTGGGTTTTTTGTTTTCCTGTTTTCTGTTTTGAGACAAGGTTTCTCTGTGTCGTTCAGGCTGCTCCTGAACTCACTGGACAGCTGCAGCCTCCAGAGTGCTGGGATTACAGGCGTGTGCCACCACAGCTGGCTATGGTCAGTTTATAGGCATAAATTGAAACACATTTGAAAATCATCAGTTCACATTTGTGCACTGATCTTCCTTTCTTATCTGAGGTATCTCCTTTAAAATATCCACAAAAATGAGCTAGTACAAGTGACTCAAATGACAAAATTTGTATTCAACATTACTTTTGCCGTTTCAGATCCAAGTGTATTAAATCTCTTCCTATGTTGCTTCCTCAACCTTATGAACAATTACTCTTTTTTATTTTGAGGCAAAATACTTTGCTTTAATTTTTTTAGAAATCAGTCTCTGTGTAATTCTCATACTTCTCAAATACTCAAAAAAAAAAAAAAAAAAGGAAAAGTACTTGCCAAATACTCCATGAGAATTATGTTTTGGCTGGCTCAGGATGCCTTCAGAGCAGGTCTGGTAAGGCTTGAGGATCCGGGGATCGAACCACAACATCCTGATTGCTTTAAGCAGTCACTTAAACAACTAAGCTAATGGGCAGGCTCCCTAAAATGACAGATTTTAAACTCAGAGGAAAATAAAAATCCTTTATTCAGGTACAGAAATTTTCAAACAGTTCAAATATAAAACGTAAGTGTTCCCCAAAATTAGTTCTAAGCCTACTGTAATATAAAATTCTTTGTAACCTTAAGTTAAAACATTAGTAATATATATGTTATAAAGGAATGAAAAAACATACCTCAAATTCTTTTCTGAGACGTTCTTCTCGTTGAGTACTAAGTTCAAGCTCGCTTGTTTGTCTTTGTAGAAGGTCAGAGCACTCCGTATGTTCTCTCTCTAACTGTTCTACTTTCTTGTGCATTGTTTGTACAGCACTGTCTTGCTCCTGGAAAAGAATTAATTTCTGTATCAGTAAAATTTATAAATCATCAATGACTGAAAAATTACCCTGTAAGACAGTAAACCAGAGCTGGCCAGATAGCTCAGCAGACTAAAGCACCTGCTTAGGCAGAGCACATGTGCCAGGGTTCGATCCCCAGCTTGCAGTGCCGGCCCTGCCCGGTGCATGCCGAGACACTGAGACTGGGCGTGGTGGTGCACACCTGTGATCCCAGCGGATGGGAAGTTGAACACAGGAGGATCACGAGTTCAATCTAAATAGTGAGACCCTGTAGGCCCTGCACTAAATACATTTTTTTTTTAAAGACAGTAAACCTGTGCTTCAACTATATGTTAACTCATATAGGCAAGAGGCCTAAGTATTTTTCCACAATGTTTCAAAATATACAGTGTTAGGGGCTGGGGAGATGGCTCAGTAGAACAAGTGCTCCCCTGGCAAGCACAAGGGCCTGAGCTCAATCCCCAGTTCTGAAAAAAAAAAAAAAATTTATACACACACACACACACAGTGTTTTTTAAAGCACTATTGGCTTTTTACAGTTTAAAAAATCTGACTGATACATATTACAACTGAAAATGTCAACAGCAGACTAGACCGCTGCACTGATTCACTCAACCTCTGAGGGTATTTACGTAATGCTGTGTTCAACCGCCACGCTGTTTACCCTCCTGATTAAATGGCAAAGCATTTAGCAAATCAAGTTGATATGGCCCCTTTGTGTAATATGGAATGATGGGCTTACAGCTTCCTTAGAATCTTCGGTAAGAGCTCATTTCTGTAAGCATACAGCTCACGCTTCTAGCTTTTTAAAGCTGTATCCACTAGATGGCTGTGTTTCACTTCTTCAGTTTCAGAAAGATCTCATCTTTGCTGTACTACTGAAAACAGTAACTAAAGACAGTCTTCTACTCCCACCTCCCCTTCCCCTCTTTTCCAACTAAACTTAGAAATCAGAGCTGAGGTTCAATCAGAGTTCACAGGTGTCTGGGCTGGTGAGATGGCTCAGTGGTCTAAAGCACCTACTTAGAACAAGTTGAGCAAAGTACAGGGACCGCGGTTCAATCCCCAGCACCACATGCCAGTCAGCCCCGCCCCCTGGTGGGCTGAGCTAGCCACACACACACA